GAGTAGCTTTTCAAATTGTTTTTCAAACGTTTCTTTTCTAGAATTCCTTAGTGATACGTGTTTCTCATTTCACCATCTAATTGTCTAGGTTTTAACATTTGTACTCTTGATACCATCATATTCATTACAAATTTTTTTTTCTTAGAAGACTGATTCTGGCAGACACCTAGACAAAGACAGTCTTTTTCTCCACCTACCAGTCCTCTCCTCCCTCATCCCTCTCTATCCCTGACTTTCCCTCCTTGTCCTCCCCTCTTTTCCCCTGCCCCATTTTGTTTGTCTCAGTGTACAGAAACGTAAAAAATTAGACTGATGACAGGTAGAGGTAGAGGATTCCCTGTAAAGATACTATTTAGTGACAGTAACATTAATTTCCTAGATAATTAGTTCAAATTAATTTGGAGTCTACCAGACTTGCATTAGAATCCTGCTTTATAAAAGTAGTACATATCTGTTATTAGAAAAAAAAATGGTACAGTAACAGTGAATACAAAGAAGAAAGTAAAAATGTTGTTCTCTTATATACTTCTTTTAGATAATTTCTATTAATGGCTTTCATGTTTCTAAATATCTACTTCATATTTACATATATACTTAATGTAACATTAGCTACATTAATTTCAGATTTATACCATATACATTTTCCTTTTATGATAGTCTTCAGGAGGTCAGAAAATATCTATAGTATTCATTTAATTCAATTTTAATTCACTTGATATTACTATAGTGTCTTAATTTCTTCTCATTTTTTCCTTAAAAAAATTTTTTTTACCGCTTTCAGGATGCTGTTCCCTCAGTTATTATTATTATTTTTGGTTTGCTTTTAATCAGTCTTTACCTCTGTAAAGGTGCAAAGTTCATTTATAAAAATAGGAGGAATGAAAATACTAGAAACAATCGAGAAAATGGATACTAGAGATGGAGAAGATAGCAAACAAAGATATTTGCATCTTATGGCTTCAATCTTAGTAGTTGAAGTAGTTGGCTAGATGTTCTGCCGGGAAGGGTAATGCTCACAATAATTAGGAATTAAAGCCTGTGGGAAGGAAATTTAGAATTGTCCTTACTGTCATTATGGGAAGTATTATAAGAGATCAATATAGGGTTGTCAGACCTGCTGTTGAAGATGCAGGATGAATTTGTAGAGAGCAAAGGGACCAAGTTAAAAAAAAAAAAAAAGAGGTCAGCTCTGGTTGGGTAAGAGGACACTGGAAGCTTAAGGTGTTCATGGCATCTGTGCGAATAATAACCAGAGTGTTAATAAAATTGCTTACCATAGCCAAGCACCAGAGAATGAACTTTCTGAACATGTACAGAACTGTTGCCTGCACATCAAATGTAAATCAGGATTTAAGAGTCTTCTCTCATGAGAGAAGCAATGTTTTTCCCTCCTTGAAACAGCTTGTCAGTTATGAAGAATATGGTTGGAAGGCCACAGAACTACTCATACACTAATTAGCTTGGTATTTGTAAGTCTGTCTACCAACAAAGCATTATTTGTGTGTATACATCCTTTTGTTTCTGTAGAATGTTGGGCACTTTTCTAGACACTCGAATAGTGGAGGCTTTGTGGGGGGCAGGGGAGAATATGTTAGGATAGCTGAAATGTAGAAGTAGCCAAAATATTACATAATATTCTTTTCTCACTTGAAGAACATATTATCTGATTAAAATTTCTGTTCTGTTAGACAAATGTTACTACTGAGATTCCTTTAATCTTTTGTATGGAATTTAAAAAATAAGGTGATTTTTTGACCTGATTTTTTGCAGAGAACTATAACTGGACTCAGCTTTTGATTTAATTTTCTTTAGAAGAAATAAAAAAAAAAAAGTTTCAAGTTTAGGTGATTTAGTCTGCCAAGTGTCTGTGTGTCAGAGGTAGAATAGAAATAGAATCTTTAGAAAATTTGTTATTTGCTTTTAATTTTGTTAGCACAGCTCTACAAGTTATTCTTCATCCCTGACCCTAAGTCTTGAGCAGATGGTTCTTCTCTTTCAGTTTGTTTCACTTCTTTTCTTGCTCTACGATGATTGACCAGAAGATTGTTTCTTTTTTTTTTTTAATATTTTATTTATTTATTTGTCAGAGAGAGAGACAGACAGCATAAGAAGGGAGAGCGGCAGAGAGAGAGTGAGAAGCAGACTCCCCACTGAGCAGGGAGCCCGATGTGGGACTTGATCCCAGGACCCTGAGATCATGACCTGAGCCGAAGGCAGCCGCTTAACTGATTGAGCCACCCAGGCGTCCCGAAGATTATGTTTCTTTCAGGGGAATAGCTTGACCTCAGCTGCAGGTGTTCCGGTCTATCTTGACAGATTTCATCATGGAATCAAATGAGGCTTTAGATCAGAAGGGATCTTTAGAATTCCTTCCCTGGCCCTTCTGGCATCCTGCCACCACCCTGATTTCACAAGGCCTTTGATGTATCACACACACAACCCAAGATACAGACACAATTCAGTCTGAGTTTATATTTAAGACTAATTTGTTAAGGGCATATGCATTAGCAAGCAGAGCTGTGACCATGTAAAGAACCCGCATTTAGGTTCATGGCACCCTCACAGTGTTTTTCAAGAAAGTGGTCAATTTGTTTATGTAACTGAAGGGTGTATCTGGTAGTATTTTTAAAACAAAAATGTCTGCTGCAAAAGAAAACTGATGTCTCCACTGGAGAGACATTTAATTGCTTGTAATGGAAAGTGACATTTATCTTTTTTTTTTTTTTTAAAGGTTAAGATAACCCATCATCAAGTCTTTGAAAAAAAAATGGACTCTCCAATAAAATAAGCCACCTTCATCCTTTTTATAGGACTATCCCTCACCACCACTGTCCTTTTTTTAGGGTTACATTCTGCTATTTACAAGTACCTTGGCCTTCAAAAAGCGTTTCCACTTTTAGCCACCGCTTCCCTGCAAGATTTATTAGACTTTCTGAACCTTTTTAAGCCTGGAGCCATTGAGTACCTTGCTGGGATTGCATCAAACCTGGGTAGGCCAAGGATTGACAGTGCATTTCTGATTTGTTTTTTTGCATATGCATTATTTTATTTTCCCTGATTTTAAGATTGTGAGACATATATTTCCATGTCCATGTTCTTGTCATCTTGAAATAAAAATAGAGTTCTTTTTAAAGAGAATTTAGTGCATTCTTTTATACATCAAAACAAAATACTGTCAAAATAATCATTAAAACATATAGGTACCTATTCTTTATTAGTTTGGGTTATTGTTTCACTAAAAAGTATGCAGTGCCATTGAAATAGTTGCACATTTAAAAAAATAAATGTTGGGGCACCTGGGTGGCTTAGATGGTTAGGCGTCTGCCTTCGGCTCAGGTCATGATCCCAGGGTCTTGGGATCAAGCCCCGTATCCGGCTCCTGGCTCAGTGGGGAGCCTGCTTCTCCTTCTTCTGCCTCTCCCCCTGCTCATGCTCTCACTCTCTCTCTGTATCTCTGTGTCTCAAATGAATAAATAAAATCTTAAAAAAATAAAAAATAAATGTTAATTGAATTAAACCCAGTCATTCTGAATTATCAAGTTAAAGCAGAATTGCTCTTGTGGAATCTGTGTCCCCATGCTTAACTTTTTTGATTTTAAGGAGGATGATTGATTGAATTTAAAATTTAGGAGGGTAAAGGACAACTAGTCACTGCAGGTCAGCTCGGCCATTAAGTCCAACCAATTGGTTATTGCTAATCTGTCCTGCTTTAGAGAGAGACTCATGGCAATTTTGGTTACATCTAAGTGAGTTGTTCAGTCCATGTGGCTTGGTCTAGATGTTCTAAGAGTCTAATTTGCAGTGTATATTATATGACAAAGTGATTTTAAAAATAAGAAAGGAGTCACAGGAAATTGATGAAAAAGAGAAAAGGATTTAACGGGCCAGAGAAGTTAGTACGAATAAGATGATGTGTAAGAGAGAATAATAGAAATAAAGGGTTCTTATGGAGTCATGTAATCATTTTATTCTACCCCCTTCATGTCTGTCTTTAAACCAGCTTGGATTCTCAATTTCTCATTTCTTGAAACAAGATTTTAAAGAATGTTGTAGATAAAAAAGACTTCTGGGTAGAATGATGTTATAAGTCAGAAAATACTCTTTGCTGAATATCCTCATAATATATCTGCCTGTCTCTGGTCTCTGTCTCATCTTGTAATTGTAATTAACTGAAGTGATTTTAATTTCTCAGGATTCTAATTTTCCATTAACGCCAAAAGTGAAAATCCTCAGTTAAAACTATAAGCTAATGACCCATTTCAGTGTCCCGTTGGACATTGGGGATTAAGGTGCTGGGACAATAGGTGTTAACAGCAAAGAACTTAGAGACAGAGAGTAAAAATGGTTTGTTCATCCTGCCCAGGTGAAGGTATAGTTCAGAGAACTTCCCAGCATCTGAGAGCGATGGGCATAGAAGCTAAAAGGAATTCTACTTCTTGATGTTTACCCTGTGTCTTCAGTCGCTTTCAAGACTATTTTCCAGTTTAAACTGTAACCCAAGTGGTAACTCTGATCTACATGTTTATGAATTTTTAATTCTGTAGAACATTTGTATTTTTTTCTTTAAAAATAACTCCATAAAACATTTATTATTGGTAGTTTTTTCTTGGAGGTACCAGAGCTGTGTTTATTTAAAATAAAGGATTCCCTAGGGCAGTGGTTCTCAAACTTTAGTAGTATATCAGAATCATCTAGAGGAATTTTTAAAACACAGATAGTTGGGTGCCACAGCCATATTACTGATTCAGCAGCTCTGGGGTGAGGCCAGAGAGTTTGCATTTTCAGCATGTTCCCAGGTGATGCTAAAACTGCTGGTCCTGAAACTGTACCTTTGAGAACTACTGCAGTACAATATCGATCCCAGAAGTCTGAGACAAAGCTGAATCTACTCTGTGCTGAATGAACACTGAGTTGCTTATAGTGCAAGCAGAGTTATACCTACTGGACGGGTACCAACAGTGATCACTTAATGCAGTGTTGTATTTTATTTATTTTCATAGATTGGAGCATATGATCAACAAATATGGGAAAAATCTGTTGAACAAAGAGAAATCAAGGTAACAAGTTTATTTAATTTTGTATATTCTGAAACATAGTTCTATAAATTGATTATTAACCACATTTTATCTTTTATCTTTCCATACACTTTTAAGGTATAAATATTACTTATTCTATCCAGACTTTTAAATAAAGAGGTAAACTCTTATGCTGGCATAGTCGTGTGTCTTTACCTCCGATGATTTTTTTTTTTTTTTTTTTTGCTTTTTAGCATCTTTCTGTTCTTTTAAAATTTAATTTCTAATGATTATTTTTTTATCAGCTCTCTTCCCCTTTCACTTGTCACCTTATACTTCTAGTTTGCTTTTCCTCCCTTTTGATGCTGTCATTGCTCTGTACAGTTTATTAAACTGGTAAGTGTTTCAGGACTTTTCCCACCTGAATGATCCTGTCAAATGCTGCTCTGCTTCATTGAGATCTGCTTTTGGTGTTACTAACAGAATGACTTGAACGCAAGTAGAGTCGCTGAGGAGTTGGTCATTTCTTAAAAGAACTTAGGAAAGTAAAGCATTAATGGAAATGTTTTTGTAGTAGGTGGTTTCTTCTTGAACATGTAATCACTTATGCTGATAAGACATTCTCATAGGCTACCTGGCTAGCATGAAAAATATTTTTTTAACTGAATTTGTTCTGTTTCTCAGCAATTGCTCCTTTTTGATAATAAGATTTATATTTTTCATTTGCATAGATAATACTAATCTGTGTGTTCCTGCACGAGCTAAATTTAATCTGAGCCCAGAGAATGTTACTTTAGTGGCTTGACATTTTCTATTTTGTATGAAAAGGTTTATGTTAGATTGGAAACCAGTGTCTATAGTTTCTTAAAAATCTGTCAAAAAAAAATCTCAGTGTTTAGACAACTTAGTCATCTATAATAAAGAGCAGGATTCTTTGCCATTGGTCAATTTTAATCTTTAAACTATTTTCATGAAGAATTAAAGTTGCCGTAAGCACCTGCTATGTGTTAAATACAGGATTAAATCATGGAAAAGATGGAATGGATTATAATTTTGTAGATGAGATTCATAATTACAAATGAGATTGGTTCAGTGTAGGTCTCTGTTGGGGAGTGCAGGGGGAAGCAGCCCTGGGTAGGTTAGGAGAGACTTCACAGAGGAAGTGACTCATGAGCTGAGTTTGACAGACATTAGGAAGAATGAGGAAAACATTCCAGACAGAATGAAGAGCGTATGAAAATAAACATGCAGGAAAGAAGGAGCATGACTGACTGAGGAATCCTCAAGGAGCTTGATTGGTAATAGGTTGGATGGAGGAAGGAGATTGGGGTGCATAAGCATGAAACTAGAAAAGAAAAGGGGAGTCAGATTGTGCAGGGGCTTGACTGCCTCACCTGGGAGAGTCTGGACATAATCTGGAAAACAATGAGGGAGACATTGAAGGATTTGAAACAGAAAATGTTACCTGATTAAATTTCTGTTTTAGAAACTTCACTCAGGCAGCAGCAAGTGTGATGGGAAATACTAGAAGAGGAGCAGATTTAAAATTGTGCTTTAGAAGTATTCAGGTGGTACTTGGGAGAGAGATTTGGGAGTCCTCAGTATGAAAGTGTGTGTGTATATAGGTATGTGTATATGTGTGCTGTATATATTATCTATAATAACACATATCAATACAGCTATAGGAGTGAGATTTACACTGGTTGATGACAGGAAAAGTCTGAGAACAGAACACTGGGAAACAACAGTTAATGGATAAGTAAAGGGAGAGATGTAAGTGAGGGAGGTAAGAGATCCATGAGACGGTAGTCTGGCAAGAGTATCATGAAGAGTAAGAATACTCAAACAAGTGAAGAGCAGCATGCAGGTTTAGTAAAGATGCCTTGAAACCTTTTAATCCGCTCATCACAAAATGCTATATTCCTCACTTTCAGAACTATCTTAATGCCTAAATAGAGGTTAGTGTAACGGGAATTATATTAGCCGTTCCTTGGTGCACTGACAGGATGAACTTGGAGAAGGCTAAGAACTATAACTTTTTTTCTGAAATATATCTCCCTTTAAAGATAGTATTTTGTAATAGTAAGTGAAGAATTAAAAACAGTATTAAAGCTTACTCTTATTATTTTGAATTAAATAAAGGGGTCAATTTGTTGATAAGCCTAAAACATTCTATTCTTGCTAAACATTTTAGTGGAGGCAAATTATTTATTGTGTAAAATAATTTTGCATTTATTCTAAGAAAGGTAGAGAAATAACTGTGGTGTATTAGTATTAATATTTGACCTAAAAAGAAACCCAAGGTTTCTAAGGACCAGGTACTTAGAAAACACTATACGGAATGCATTGAGTTTGTCCTCTCTACTCAATTGTCTGTCTGTCACAGCAGTGAGCAGCAACTAAAGAAATCAAAATATATTCTTTGGAAATGTTTATTTTTTTTAAATTGAAGACCCTTAGTTGATATTGCTGAAGTTTTCTGTAAGTTGCAAATTATTTTTTTCTTAAACATTTTAGAAATTATAACCAAAAACTTACCACTTTCTGTTCACCTTGACCCAAATTTAAAAGTAAATGTGGAATTTCCCCCAGTTTTAGTACTTACTAGAGTTATAAAGCTTTAGTAAAAAGAACCATGCTATTTAAAGTCATTATAGAGGAAAAACAGGATGGGGGAAACTAAACAGGATTTCTGGAAAGTGAAACTGATGGTTACGTCCTTTGGTGGAGTCACGGTATTATAATAGTTCCAAATATGGGACGTCTGCATCATTGAACAGAAGTACTTTCTAAATTTAAACAGCTGTTACAAGCTTTTTGGCTCAACATTAGCTGTGTACTTACAGATTTGAAAAAATACAAAACTTCATACAATTTGTGTTATTGTGCCTTAGGAATATACTGTAAGAGTTTAAGTGTATATTCAATAAAGAATATATTACTTGGGGGCGCCTGGGTGGCTCAGTCGTTAAGCGTCTGCCTTCGGCTCAGGTCATGATCCCAGGGTCCTGGGATCAAGACCCGCATCGGGCTCCTTGCTCCGCGGGAAGCCTGCTTCTCCCTCTCCCACTCCCCCTGCTTGTGTTCCCTCTCTCGCTGTGTCTCTCTCTGTCAAATAAATAAAATCTTTAAAAAAATATATATATATATATTACTTGGATTCTTGGAGAGTAATTGTATTTATAGTGCCTGATTGTTTCTACTTTCTAGTTAAGTCAGTAGTTATTAAATCTTTTCTTTGGAACTTAGTTTTCATTTTTTGTTTGTTCATTTAAACTTTTTGATAGTCCGGAAAGCTATGCTATTTTGCGTGAATATAGTTTACTCTAAACCAATTTAAAATTTTCCAACTTAAAATATCTACTTACTTAAAATCAGATTTTATGAATGCTTACGTATGGGTGCTGATATCTTTTAGTTTGGTGTTTAAAATCATTAATGTTAGAAGATTTATCAGTGATATTTTTCTTTGTTTTTCTTATTTTATTTTATTTGTTTTTTTAAAGGTTTTTATTTATTTATTTATTTATTTATTTGACGGAGAGAGAGAGCACAAGTAGGCAGAGCGGTAGGCAGAGGGAAAGGGAGAAGCAGACTCTCTGCTGAGCAGGGAGCCTGATGCAGGGCTCGATCTCAGGACCCTGAGATCATGACCTGAGCTGAAGGCAGCTGCTTAACCGACTGAGCCACCCAGGTGCCCCTGTTTTTCTTACTTTAAACCCTCTAAATATTCTGATAGGTTACCATGAAGGGGAGTTTTATCAAAACTGGCAATTATAAAAAATAAAATAAAATAAATAAATAAGGGGTGCCTGGGTGGCTTAGTCAGTTAAGCATCGACTTTTTTTTTTTAAGATTTTTTTAATTTATTTGACAGAGAGACAGTGAGAGAGGGAACACAAGCAAGGGGAGTGGGGGAGGGAGAAGTAGGCTTCCGGTTGAGCAGGGAGCCCAGTGCGGGGCTCAGTCCCAGGACTATGGGATCATGACCTGAGCCGAAGGCAGACACTTAACAACTGAGCCATCCAGACACCCCAAGCATCTGACTCTTGATTTTGGCTCAGGTCATGATCTCAGGGTTGTGAGATTGAGCCCCGTGTCAGTCTCTGCACTGGGCGTGGAACCTGTTTAAGATTCGTTCTCTCCCTCTCCTTCTGCCCCTCCCCCTTCCCCTGTTCATGAGCACAAACTCTCTCACCCTCTCTCTCAAAGTCAATCAATCAGTCAGTAAAACTGGCAGTTGTGCTGTGACTCTACAATGTAGCTCAAAATAAATGTTTTAATAAAATATTACATAGGAAATGAACCACATAGAAAAAGGTCAAGAAGAATGAACATATTGAAAAACAACACAGTTGCATAAATCAGGTTAATTTACTGTTCCTCTCATAAGGACTTTAAGTTCTTAAAACAACCTGATAAAAATTTTAGGTGTACAGCAGTAAATTAAGCTTCATATTTGTCATAAAACATTGGCAATAAGGTTATTTTCAAATTATTAGAAAAAGAAAGTATAAAAGATAGAAGTAAATCAAAATATGTTACTGTTTTCACATTTGTTGGCAGTAACAAAGGTTAAATCTCAAACTTCATATCAAATCTAAATAGTGCTCTATTAATGAAATTTTGTTTTTACATGTTTGTATTATTAGAATTGGTTTTCCAATTTGCAAAATATTGGGGGTGATTCATAGTCTGCGAGCCACTCTATCATGACATTAAAATGGGAAATTAAGTACAGGTGCAGTCAAGTCTCGTTATTCGCAGGAGTTACATTCTGTGACGTCACCATGAACACTGAATTAGCAAATACTGACCATTGCTCCACCTCTAGTCATAACACTTTCGTCAGGTGATCAGTACGTATCCTTGTCTTATGTATGTTTCTGTTGAAAGACACCTTGTTTAATAGATATTGTTGATGCATTAACAACTGAACTCATGGCCAATGAAACTATAATTCACACTCAAACAGAGCTTATCTAGCGTGCATTTTCTCAGTGAGGCACATCATAGCCTTCTTTACACTTAGAACACTAGACCGCACTTCTGTACTGTGCTTGAGGTCCATTTTTAAACAACAAAATTGCCAACAAGAAGTACAAAAAAAGCAAAACCCAGCACTAATTGACTGTGAAAAGGATACTTATTTTCAGCATGAGAGCTGAAATAAGAAAGCAGATTGTTGCCTTGTTTGCAGCGGCAAATGTGCACATTGGGTGACTCAAATTTTTTGCCACTCTTACTTTGTGCATGTCTCCAAATGACTGCAAAAGCACAGCAAGTATTGATTTGGGGATAAAATAAATTTGCAAATGTAGAATCTATGAATATGAGGATCCGACTGTATATAAAATTACCATGGCTATGTCTTCTGTCCTCTTTTCTTCTCTTTTGTATTTGTACCTCTGAGTAGTTTTCAACTTCACATGGACAGACTGTTTGAAAGGGTTTGGAGTTCATTGCTTCTTGATTTCAGGGTACATTTTGGTTTAAACATCTCAGTTAATTCTGAGCTCAAATAGTCTCCTCTTCTTTGTTTTAGATGCAAACAGTACTTAACTAAATTTTTACCTTAGGGGTCATTGTTTTTTGGATCAGGACCAAACAGAATTTACTGCACACTTGATTAATTGAATGAATAGTAAACAAAGCATCTAAACACTGCGTCTCATATCTCAGCCTCTATTTGGCTCCTGCGGAATTTAGCCTAAGCTCTTCCAATTCTTAACATCCTAGTTTTAAGTGTAGGTTTTTTTTTTCCCAATGATTTTGATCTCTACCCTTATTCCCACTCTGTACATTGGTGGCAGAAACTTAATCTTAGTGTTCAGTAATTCCGAGTTTAAACTAATTCAGTTTGTGACTCCTGCTTTTCCCTCCTCCTCCTCCGCCTGGGCATGGCGTCTAAGTTCTAAGGTGATTAGATGGCATCGTGGTCTCGTTAGTGGTTGGCATGTGAACATAGTGGCGACCCTGAGATATGCATCATCCTCTCTGGGTCTCAGCTAATACATCCCCACATGCTGGCATCAGCTGAGAAGTCTGCATCCCCAGTCGGTCCCCAGCTTTGTGAGCCACTGCTTCTTGCACCAACGCCCCCAGCATCACACCTTGAGGGCCTTTCAGGGCCCCTGCTCTCCCAGCCAGCCTCAGTGCACTCTCCTGTGCAAATCTGGGGCCAACACAGTCTCGTGGACCATCTCAGACTGTACATCCAAATTGAGTGGTAGTGATAGTCTTTGTTCTAGAATTTTACTTTTAGTAATAAACAGGCCTCCCCTGTTACACACATCCCTAAATTTATCCTTCTGGAAAGTAATAAAATGTATTCAGTACTACAATTACATTCCAATTGTAACAAATATACAATGTGTTATATTTTTCTCCAGTATATTAAAGGTTTTTTTTAATTGAGATCTTTAGAATTTGATTATTTTCTGTTATTCTGGATTTAAAAATATATCTATTGAATTCCAATACTGTTTTTTTTATTGAGGTATAATTGACATATAGATTATATTTTAGGTATACAGCATGATTCAATATTTGTATGTATTGAGAAATGATACCACAATAAGTAGTTAACATCCATCCCCCTACTAGTCACAAAGATTTTTTTTTTCTTGTGATGAGGACTTCTAAGATCTACTCTCTTACCAATCCTACTTTAATATATTATAGGGTTTAAGGAATAAACCAAAGAAAACAGCGCATGTGAAACCAGACCTCATAGATGTTGATCTTGTAAGAGGTGAGTCTTGAATAAATAAAAGCTTAATGCAATTAGAAATTGACCTTGAAGAAACAGAATTCAAAGCGGGTTAGATATATGTTTGTAGAAATAAAAGCAAAGTGAGCATAAGCGAAGGCAGGAGTCGTACAAGAGATAATGGAGGTATTTACTGGTCTTTACTAGTCTTTACTCCCACTAGAGATCAGTCCAAGAAATAATAAAAAGGAAAGAAAACCAGCTTGTGTTTGCTTAGCAAGCTATATGGCTTGATTATAAAAATTAAAGTGGTAACTTTTAATTCCTAATTGGAACTGACATTTGAACATTGTCTTATATTTATAAAATATGTGGGAGAAATTCTGCTGTCATTTCAGTTAAAATAGTTTTTTTTTCAGAGTACCTGAGTTAATGTTAATATGATAGCATGAAGAATGTTTTTAAACTCTGTGTACTACCCAAAATTGGCCATTTCTCACAGTGTAATACAAAATAAAATTAGACATGGTTTTTTGTTCTTCAAATGTTGAAATTTTTTCTCTAAGGAAATTAAAGAATGATAAATGTACTCTGTCATTTATTTTACTTTTTTCAGGGTCTGCATTTGCTAAGGCAAAACCTGAAAGTCCTTGGACTTCTCTGACTAGAAAGGGAATCGTTCGAGTTGTGTTTTTCCCCTTTTTCTTCCGGTGGTGGTTACAAGTAACATCAAAAGTCATCTTTTTCTGGCTTCTTGTCCTTTATCTTCTGCAAGGTATAATTAAATGATAGAAATTCATTTTGCTTTTAACTTTCAGGATGTTATATTTTTAGGGTTACTAAGGCTTTTTAAAAAACATTATTATACCGAGTATGAAGATACATTTTTATTGTGATATTTCATTCAGTAAGACACAACTGGTTTGGTATTAAAAATGTTTGAGAAAACAAAGCAGTTATTTTCCAGTATAATTTTATGAAAATTAGAATCTGTGGATGACTAAAGAAAAATACAGATTGAGAGGAACTTAACAACTACACAGTCTCTTCAAATGCACATACATCCACATATACCTACCACGCTAGTCTTTTTTTATACAAGCAGTGGGAGTTCATTTTTCCTGTCTCAGCCATGGTTTCTCTTTTCTTTTGACCACTGTGTTCTGAGACTGTCCTCATTCTGTACTGAGAGTCTGTACCCCATTTTCTGAGTGCTCTTCAGATTCTCATTTAATTCTCACAGCCATCATGCAGGGAAGTGTAAGTACTGGTATTCTGCCTAGCTGATAGAAAGGGGCCCCGAAGGACCTGAGGGCGCAAAGTCACAGTTTGCAGGTGTGGGAGAGTCCAGATTCAAGTCTCAGCGTTCTGACTGCCGAGTCACACGCGTACTACACAGCGCCGTGGCGCGCTTGGGGGCGTGAAGGAGACACCACTCATCCCCGCACTCTAATAAAAGCAATGATTTTAATTTAGTGGGTACCCTTTCAGTCTTTCTAATGTCTTGCTTTTTAAAAAACATCGTTGTAACCTTGAATGATTATTTAAATATGGTTTATCAACAAACTCTAAGTAAAAAGATAAATATCTTTTTTTTTTCAGATAAATGTCTTTTAAGTAAATGAAAATGTAATAAAACCTACAGACTTTTATTTAGGTAAAGTTGTTTCTTTGAAGCCAGGGTACATCTTATATACATAAAAGGGAGTGAACTCTGAAGATTTATGATTTTTGTCAATAGAGTATGTGTGTGTTTCTGATTGAAGGAATGATAAATGTTCATTGTGGAAAATGTAGGAAAAAAACAAAAAACCCACCCATAATCTTGCCTTTCGCAGTTTACTTTGTAACATTTTTAAATGTTGAGATTATTCTGTATAAACAATTGTGTTTTTTTGCCTTTAAAAATACATTTTTAAATTATTGTAAAATATTCTATCCTACATCAGTGTTGGACACTTAAGCTTTTTGCTGTTTTTTTGCTATTATAATGACTAGTTTCCATTGTAACTAGAAGTTCACATATTGTATCTGAAATTCACTTACTGGCTTGTCTACGTTAAATAAGGAAGACAGGTTAGATCAGACATGAAATAGATACTTTTCAGTTCAGAACCAAAGTTTAACATTTTAAGTGGTGAACACTGAATATTCTCCTACCAAATCAAAGAAGTGACTTAACCTGTTTCGAGTCACAGCCAGTGACAAAGTGATGATATGACCCTTAATGACCCTCAGGAATCTGCTGGTACCTCTGGAAACCCCTGTGCCTCCATCTTTTTGCATATAAGGTGCAGTGCTCTGAGTTACCTCATTCTCTATCCCACCCTTACCTCCTAAAAGGTAGAAAGAATCATGTGCAGTCAGATTTGGTTTTGTATAACTAAGTATAGGTTTTTACTTCAGTTACATGCCTTTTAAGTATCGCAACTATGTATTCTCAACTCCGTTTATGCTTTTTGCTTGTATCATTTCTCACCCAGATTACTGCCAAGAGCCCTTATATCTTCTACCTTCTGTCCATTTACCTTTTAAATTGCAAATTCAAACCAGCCACTTAAGGTCTAAATCTCTTTCTAGTTATCATTGCCTTCAAGAGGAAAGCCAAGTTTTTTAGCCAGTCCCTTGTTGAATCTCTCCCCAGGTTTTACCAGACTAAATTAGCTCTTTGCTCTTTCTTTTTTGTGTTGTTTTGTGGTGTTTTTGTTTGTTTGTTTTATTTATTTATTTATTTTTAAAGATTTTATTTATTTATTTGAGAGAGCGAGAATGAGAGAGAGTACATGAGAGGGGGGAGGGTCAGAGGGAGAAGCAGGCTCCTCGCTGAGCAGGGAGCCCGATGCGGGACTCGATCCCGGGACTCCAGGATCATGACCTGAGCCGAAGGCAGTTGCTTAACCAACTG